CCCATCTCTTTAAAGGGGCTTTCGCTCTTGAGTTTACTCGGTTGCCCCTGGTTCTGTTTTCGTTTTCCTGCTTTCCATTCAATGCGCATTGGGATCCTAGGATGGAATGCGCATTATAAATTTGAATTATTATTATTATAGTTACGCCTCGTTCAACAACGGCATTCCCGAACCCCCAACCCAGCTCCGTTTCATGCCAATTTACTAGAGAGCACTCCATTCATTGTAAACTTTAAATGTGTATTATACCAGGTAAGGCCCCACTCAGCTACTATTACACTGCAGGTCACAACAACAAATTAACCCACTCACTAACCCACTTACCCACCTGTTCACCCACTCACCCTCTGATGCACATCACCTCCGATTAGCACGCTTGGCTACGTACGGTGCGAAAGACGTCCAAAGTACTACAGTACTTCACTATTTTTATTCTGCCAGGAAAGGACCACTGAACTATATAGCTGAGCTATGTTGCTCTTTTTTTTTTCAGAAGTGTGCTGGCCACAAATAGCTCAACGAAGTGGTTTATCACGTGGAAATTTATAGCAGCCAAATATTGCTATAAATGTGGAAATTGATTGCAGCCAAATACTCGCACGTTGAATCTAAACGTAGAGGTAAAAAAAACAGGACCCGGAGAAACATCCACGCAATCACCGTGAGAGAGTGGGAGAGACACGCAAACTGAAATAAACAGAAGGAATAAGGGTCCAAATATACAGCAGGCATCAGGGTCGAGATCGAACCCACGACCTCCTGTATACCAGGCGAGGTAGTTAACATCTCCTAGCCACCGTGATGATGATTATGAGACACGCAAACTCCAAATATACAGCATGTGTTAGGATCGGGATCGAACCCACGACCCCCTGTATACCAGGCGAGGTAGTTAACATCTCCTAGACACCGTGATGATGATGGTGATGAGAGAGAGAGAGAGAGACACGCAAACTCCAAATATACAGCAGCCGGCGTCAGGGTCGAGATCGAACCCACGACCCCCTGTATACCAGGCGAGGTAGTTAACATCTCCTAGCCACCGTGATAATGATGATGAGAGAGAGACACGCAAACTCCATATATACAGCAGCAGGCGTCAGGGTCGAGATCGAACCCACGACCCCCTGTATACCAGGCGAGGCAGTTAACATCAAGCCACCGTGGCACCTTCCATCAGCGGCGATAGCCCGCAGCCCTTATGCGAACATCGCGTTAAACCATGTGACAAGCCAATATTTTCATTTTTTAAACATCACTCTTCACTCTCCCCCCCCCACCGCTCCTAACTATACACCTCGCCTTGGCCGCCTTGCCAGTGCGAGGTGAGAGTTGTCGCCCCCCCCGTCTCGTTCTTAAGGCCACGGGGAAATAGCGGTTAGGTGAGGCGGGCAGGAGGATACAGAGAGGGTTGGTGGGTGAGCAGGCGAGGTGGGTGGCTGTAACAGAACGAGAACGTACACATCGGAATCTTTATTTAGACCTGCAGAAGGAATCCGATGAGCTCGTGAAGGTCGTCGTCACAGATTCTCCAGGAGGAACGGGTCGGAAAATTACGATGCAGTAATACCAGAGCAGTACATCTGATCTGACCCTGTGTTTCAGGAATGAAACGGGAGGATTTCTCCACAAGTCTGGCTGTCGCCTGATGAAGCTGGTTGTAATTACTGGCGAAACGTCGTTACTCAGATTGTAAATGTTGCGGGTTGGCTCTCCAACACACCGATGTGCTGTACTAGTATACTACACTGTACACTACACTATACACTACTATACACTACACTATACACTACTGTATACTACACTATACACTACTATATACTACACTATACACTATATACTACTATACACTCACTACACTATGCACTACTAAACACTACACTACACACTAGTGCTGTACTAGTACACTACACTATACACTACACTATACACTGCTATACACTAAACTATGCACTACACACTACACTTACACTACACTATACACTACTATACACTACTCTATACACTACACTATACACTACACTACTACACCATACACTACTATACACTACTACACTATACACTAGTGCTATACTAGTAACGAATTGGCCACGTTCTGTTTACGTGACAACCCTTACTAGTTGGATGTGTCGGGTGGTGACGGGTTTAACGACACATTTGCATATTCACACTATCTAATCCCAACAAAACCTGTATTGTGGATGATATTTGTCCTGAAAGCACCCTACTAGACGTTAAACTGAGCCCTGCAAAGCATGGGAAAGTTAAGCAAATCACTAAAAAATTAAAAAAAATATATTTTAGTTTTTATATTTCACCACCGAGCTATTAGCTCCTCTTGCAGAAGCGACCTGGGTCGCAAACGATTGCTCGACGGAGTGGCTTATCGCGTGGAACATCCAAAGCAGCCCTTAAAAAAAAACCCGCCCGCAAATCTCATCCCAATAATCTAAGCGCGTCTTTCCTCAACGTGGACCTCGAATGCCCAACGCGGTGGGGGTGGCGGCGGCGGCGGCGGCTTTGGGAATGCTTGTTGAGAGTCAACGGATGGTCAAATCGGCCGGCACACCGGGTAGCTCCAGCGGCGATGCACGACTCTCGGCTGTTCCTCCTCCACCACCTCCGCGCGCGCAGTTACATCGGTGGCTTGACCACCTCAACGTGAAACTGTCTTAAGCCACTTCGCTGGGCTGTCATTTGTGTTTGCCGGATCGCGCCTGAAAGAGGGCCCACGCGGCTCAAGAATTCAGGGACATCTTCACTTAAGCCACGGGTGCCGGACTGCTTATTGACAGTGGCTCTTGACACACGGACACGGAAAGTTAGTTTGAGTGGCTCACTCCAACATTAAGCCACGCCAGCCACCGCCATGCAGTTTGCACTGTCAACGCATCGCAACGTTCACCGCGCATTTTGTTCATTCAGGAACCCAGAACGCGAACGTCACAGAGGCAGACGCAACTCACGATGTCTGCTTTCGTTTTAATAATCAATCAACATGGACAAAGCACAATCTCTGAAGCTCAAAACATGTACGGCGTACACGTAAAGCAATGCCATTTTTCAATGCTGCACCATTTCTGAGTGCGTCTGGTCGATAGACTGCGGCATCAAACCCCACCGACTCCGATGACGCGCAACACACTTCACCGGGCGCCTCGGTCACCGAGCCTCCGGCGGGGCGGCGCGGGAGGGGCGTGCGGCACGGTCGAGCGACGGCGGTCGCGTCGCCGCAGTTCTCCGCGGTGAGCGATGACGCCTTTCAAAGCAGCGGCGCTCCCACTACGCCTGCCCGAATTGAACGAACGCCTGAGCCGCTTGCGCGTTTCCGGGATTCGGCGGTGAACGGTGGGGGGGGACGCCACCCACCCTGCAATGTGCAGGCGTCTCGGCACGGCGAAGGGTTAAACACCGACCCCTAGAACGTCCCCTCCCGTGTTCCGAATCTTCAACCGAAGCTTGCAGCCGACGGTAAACGGCCGAGCGCTCTGTCCTACCACCAAAGGGTTCAACATTCCACGCCGGCGTTGTTGCTCCCCTATTGTAGCGGCTGTGCATCATCTAGAATTTCCAACCAATGTGCGTGCGTGTGTGTGTGTGCGTGAACGTTGAACTTCTTTCGCACCGTACATAGCCCACCGTGCTAGTTGGAGGTGTGCGCAGCACGTCCACAGTCACAGGAGACTTGACCCTCGACCCTTGACCCTTCCCCCGAGCCGTTGCTGCGAGTGGCAGGGTGGAGGCGTCCCGCTCGCCGCTGAATCTCGGGACGGTGGAAGCGGCACGGCGTTATTCTTTATTCAAGGAGGCGTAGCAGCGACGCCGTCGCGTTTTTGTTAAAGACGTCGTCACTCGCCGCAGAGAACCGTAGCTGCACGACCGCCGGCACTCTGCCACACGCCCTCCCGCACGGCCTTCTGGGAGCCTCGGTACCGATGAAGTTACTTTAGTTTTCCTTCCGGGTTTCGTTTTTCGTGACGTACGTGTGCGTCATCGGAACGGGAAAGGGTAAAGCAAAGCCAACCTGGCCCTGTGGGGAGCTCCATTAGAGTGGTCATCCAGTGGACACCTGCAAACCACTGGAAGTCTCTGAACAAAAGAGCTTCATAGCTCATCGGATCCCTCCAGTATGAGCATAATGATTCTCATTCTGAAGTTGCTCGAAAACAATGGCTGACCCTGAACAAGCCATGCCATGTGGCGACGCAGGCCGCGATGCCGATGAGCACTGCTCGCCGCAAATGGACCACAATACCTCGCTGATCTCGTTCAGGGGGATAAACCGCCACGCCAGCTCTGGTCGTCACCGCGGCTTTTGGTTCGGCCAATCGAACGGAGGCGGTGGTCACGGCCTCACGCGGTGTTTTCGGACGCGCTTCTGCGGCCGTCTGGAATGCCCTTGCTTCCGATATTGGGAATCCACCGGAGCTAAGCACTTTTAAATCGCCTAGATTGACGAACTAATTTATTCAGAACTGCCTGTTGTTGTGTTCAGCTCGTGGTCCTTCCCCCCGCGCGGTTAGCCACGTAGGGCGCGCAAAAAGTTCAACATACATGCCATACAAAAATCCCCCTTATTGCCATAACAGACTGCTGGGGCAAGCGCTGTTAGCGAGCAGCACCTGTGAAGGCCGGCACGGCACACGAGGGGGTGGGGAGGCCAGCGCCGCGCCCGGCCGCCTTTGTCTCCCCCAGTGGCGACGTTTACTACGCACACCGCGCCGGGTGCTCATTTGAGGCCGAGCCGACCTAGCGGAGGCCCAGGACCGGTTCAGGTAATCGCCACCGGTGTTGGTGGCCGTGAGCGAGACTCGAACTCGGGTCTCTGCTGGGTCCGTGGCGCGGCGCGCCGACCGCCCACACTGCCGCTCCCCACTCCATACAACAACACGCGTACAACACGCGTACAACACGCGTACAACACGTGTACAACACGCGTACAACACGCGTACAACACGCGTACAACACGCGTACAACACGTGTACAACACGCGTACAACACGCGTACAACACGTGTACAACACGCGTACAACACGCGTACAACACGCGTACAACACGCGTGCGGGCACGCAGCTTCCGCCGCCGCCGGCGAACGACGCAAACGGTGGGCGTCCCGTCACGGCTGCGGCTCCACGTCGGTGGCGAAGGTCTGCAGGCACCTCTGCTGGTGCCCGCGCAACGTCTGCATGACCGCGGGGCTGCGCAACAGGGCCTGGTGCAATGCAAGGAGCAGACGAGTGAAGCAACGACAACATCAGCAACAGGAATGGCAAAACACCTTCGACGCGCGCACGCGCGCGTCCTGTGACGACAACACGCGCGCCACACTCGGAGGCAAGGCCGCGGGTAAACGAATGGATTGGGCGGCACACCGGTGGCCGCTCGATTTGAAAAACAAAACAAAAAACTAAAAATTTTGTCGCAATAATGTTTTTTCCATTTTCCCCACGATTTGCAAGCTCCCGGACAGAAAATGCTGCGGTGCCGGTGGTGCTGGCGGTGCGGGTCGAAATCAATTCTCGTGATGCCGGATCGTTGATACGATCCGGCATCACGAGGATTGATTCGTGATGCCGGATCGTATGGCTCCCGTGTTCCAGAGGAGGCAAGATTTGACTCCTCGTGGCCTGCCTAGACTTGGTCGGACGGTGACATGGCAAAGATTACGGCTCGTGGCGGTGCCACCAGCACGTTCGAACGGGCGAGCGGCCGCTGAATCTGAGCGGCAACGTCTGATGGAGAGCCCTGCAGCTACGCTCAAGGACTTTAGAGCTTTCGTGACTGCAGGGATTCTTATTCTTGGTTCTTTCCGTAAAGTCACGTAGAAAGGCAAAGAATAAAATAATAAAAATATAATGCAATAAAAATGTATTATTTTATTGTTTTATATTTTTGTTATTTTATTGTTTCCCTTCTACGTAACTTTACCTAAAGAACCAATAAAATAAAAAAATACAATAAAAATGTATTATTTGATTGTTTCCCTTCTACGTAACTTTACCGAAAGAACCAAGAATATCGTCAGGACTGTTTTCCAATGGCAAGGTGTGTTTCGTTACACTGCACCGGTGCGGTACCGCCGATATGTCCAAACGCATATCAGCCAATATTCTCTCCACAACCAATTAATTCCACATCAGGTGAAGGACACAAGGTCATCATAACCAATGGCACCGCTGCCATCACAGCACTACCGGTCTTCTTTCTGCCAAATCCTCTCCTCCTCAGTTTAACACGTAGGCTTTCGCGACCAATATTATTCATAATAAAGGTTTTGGGTTAGATCGCGTTTATTTATAAATGTGTCGTAACCCTCCACCACCCGACACGGCCAATCAGCAAAAAAAGGTGTCACGTTGACAAAAAGACAAATAGTTCACTGCTTTAGCCCACCGGTGTGTTGAAGAGTGAATCCACATTTACAGTTTGAGTACGACGTTTCGCTGGTAAATACATCCAGCATCATCGGGCAATTCGCCAGAATGGTAAAGCCCTCGCTTGCTCCCGGTTTTATCTAGAGCAGCAGGGTGACGTCATCACTTAACTCATATCAGGTGCAGTGATTAGAGGCGGAGGGAGGGGGGTATTGTAATTATATAATCGATTAGTAATCAGTCATTGGTTATGATTAGTAATGAGTTGTAGATTAGTAATTCTTTAAATCAAAATGTAATGTGTATTATTTAATAATACGCTTCCAGGCCGCACTAAGCCTGTAGCTGTCAGAGCGATTAAAGTTATTCTTGTTCCTCTCAATTTCAATGGATTCTCTAATTAGTCTTTGCCAGTAATAATTAGTTTTACACAACACTGCAACATTGTCAAAATCAATTGAGCGTCCTTGTTGACAAGCATGTTCTGCCACTGCCGACAGTTGTGTTTGAGATAATTTAATATTTCTCTGATGTTCTTTTAGTCTTACGCTGATGTTACGTCCCGTCTGTCCAATGTAGCAGCTGCCACATAAACAATTAATCCGAGGTCTGACTCTGGGTTTGCGATCCCAATGCCCGTCTCGCTAACCCTGCCCTTGTCCCCTCCTGCACTCGAATTTAAGCCGTGGAAATTCTCCTCTCTACAAACTGTTTTAACCAGGTAAGGCCCGCTGAGCTGTACAGATATTTTTCAGAAGCGACCTGGACGCAAATGATAGCTCAACGAGGTGGCTTCTCACGTGGACATTTACAGCAAACAAATCTGAGGACCCGGAGAAAAATCCACGCGACCACGCGGGGAGAGAGAGAGACGCGCAAACTCCAAATATACAGCAGCAGGCATCGTCAGGGTCGGGATCGAACCCACGACCTCCTGCATACCAGGGCGAGTTAACATCTCCTAGCCACCGTGATGATGATGATGAGAGAGACACGCAAACTCCAAATATACAGCAGGCGTCGTCAGGGTCGGGATCGAACCCACGACCTCCTGCACACCAGGGCGAGGCAGTTAACATCTCCAAGCCACCGTGATGATGATGATGACAGAGACACGCAAACTCCAAATATAGAGCAGGCGTCATCAGGGTCGGGATCGAACCCACGACCTCCTGCACACCAGGGCGAGGCAGTTAACATCTCCTAGCCACCGTGATGATGAGAGAGACACGCAAACTCCAAATATACAGCAGGCGTCAGGGTCGGAATCGAACTCACGACCTCCTGCATACTAGGGCGAGGCAGTTAACATCTCCGAGCCAACGCAGCACCCCCTTTGATTTCGTCTTGGATGCATTCCCGGCGCGTTTTATTTCCATCGGCCACAACGAAAAAACCTCTTGCGCAGGCTAAGAAAAAAAGGGTGCGATTCACATGGGGACCATTGAAGCTGCGGCAGAGCCATCAGTCTGTGCATTTTCCCCATTAGCTCAGGCAGGCTTAAATGACCCTCTGCCAAACAGGTGATTCACACCGCCAACACGTACGATCGTGCGCGGCCAAAATGATTACATACATTATGGTTGTGCGGAATTTTGCAGGATGATGACACCTTGTAAGCTCAGCACATAGAGAGCTTTATTGACAGGCTCTTAAAAAATCTGAACATGGCAGGGCAACATGTACCTAGAGAAGCCCCATTTTGTTTAACCCCCAAGTCGGCCGGCGATGTGGTCACAGGATACGACTCGCAAACGGACGCCTGCGAGGTACGAATCCTGGCCTGTGGTCAACTCAGCCCACCGTTGCTTGGGGACCGACACAACGAGGTACCTCTTTGTGAGAAGCGAAGTGGTCCTATGGGTGGACTGGGCCTAGCCACGGAGCAGTGGAGTATCCACTGCTGGCTCGGTGAGATGAGCGCTTCCGGCCACCTCACGTAACCGTGTCCGGAGCCATCGCATGAATCCCCCCCGGGCCATTGGGATACTTGCCGAAGCACAAAGACTCGCCCGCCAAGCCAACGTTGTCTCCGTATGACGCAGATCAGTGTTTTTTCGCCGACGAAGGCATCAGTCGGCGTGAGTTTGCCGGCACGCCATTTGTAACAAATGGTGATGGGTGGGCGGTGGTTTCGCAGTTTGTGTTGTCGGGAGAGGGGGGAATGGGTGACTGGCTGCCTAGGTATTTGGGTGATTGTGTGCCTGGGTGCCTGTATATCTGGGCGAATGTGTGCCTGCGTGCTTGGAGCGACTGGGTGCTTGAGTATCTGCGCCATTGTGCGTCTGGTTGCCTGGGTGACTGGCTGCCTGGATATCTGGGCGAATGTGTGCCTGGGCGACTGGGTGCTTGAGTGTCTGGGTGATTGTGCGTCTGGTTGCCTGGGTGACTGGCTGCCTGGATATCTGGGCGAATGTGTGCCTGGGCGACTGGGTGCCTGAGTATCTGGGCGATTGTGCGTCCGGTTGCCTGGGTGACTGGCTGCCTGGATATCTGGGCGAATGTGTGCCTGGGCGACTGGGTGCTTGAGTATCTGGGCGATTGTGTGTCTGGTTCCCTGGGTGACTGGCTGCCTGGATATCTGGGCGAATGTGTGCCTGGGCGACTGGGTGCTTGAGTATCTGGGTGATTGTGCGTCCGGTTCCCTGGGTGACTGGCTGCCTGGATATCTGAGCGAATGTGTGCCTGGGCGACTGGGTGCTTGAGTAATCTGGGTGATTGTGCGTCCGGTTCCCTGGGTGACTGGCTGCCTGGATATCTGAGCGAATGTGTGCCTGGGCGACTGGGTGCTTGAGTATCTGGGCGATTGTGTGTCTGGTTCCCTGGGTGACTGGTTGCCTGGATATCTGAGCGAATGTGTGCCTGGGCGACTGGCTGCCTGGATATCTGAGCGAATGTGTGCCTGGGCGACTGGGTGCTTGAGTAATCTGGGCGAATGTCGCGTGCAGGTCACGTGCCTGTCGTTTCTGGTTCAGCACGCACTCCAGCAGCGTGACCTTGCGTCCCACGGGCGGCTCCTTGATGGGGGTGCCCCTCCGCTGCTGGGCGGCCGCCAGGTCCTTCTTGTCCTGGCAGCAGACACGAAGCACGCCTCAGCCGTGGCGGCGCGGGAGACATTTCCACGTGGTGATGACGACGACGGCGAGCCGCTGCGTTGGGCTATCATTTGTGGGCTTGTGGGAAAAAGAGATGCGTAGCGGAGCGGCCCTTTAGGGGCCGTCCATAAATGACGTCACGCACCTGGGGGGGGTGGGGGTCAGACATTTGTGACGATGTGTGACGAGGGGGGTGGTTGAGAAATGTGACGTCACATCAAAATGCGCTAACTTTAAATAAATCATGAATTGTTATAACGACACTCCAACAACATCAGAGTGCAGCGCCACGTTAAATACGCACTACAATGACAATAGTTTAAAGCGAATTGAAGCATCTTTTATTTTCAAAATGGAAATATGATTTTTTGGGGGGGGGGGCAGAGCTTTGTGACGTCATATTTGAGGGGGGGGGGGCCCTTACCTGGTGAATAAAAAAAAGCTCAGTTTAGTTTAGAGGTCGCTTTACTAGGACAGGCCCTGGCGCGGAATGCAGAGGTTTGCGGCATCCCAATACGCAACGTATTGGGATGCCGTTGAGCACAAATCTTTAAGACGAAACTGAACTTTTTATTTTACTCCCCAAGGCCCAACCGAGCCACACAGCCGCTTTCCAGAAACCGCCTGGCCACAAACGAAAGCTCGGCGAACCGATCACACTCCGAATCCCGCTCACAACCAACAACAGTGGCGAATGTTCGAACCGGGGTACTGGGGCTCTCCCCTGGGTCTAATCAGCCTCAAAGAAGCCGGCCTCCTAGACCACGGGCCGACCTTGGTCCCGCTGCCGCCGCCGCCGCCGCCGCCGCCGCCGCCTCCTCCCGCGCCGCCAGCCGAGAAATTCTTCTTGGTCTTGAACTTGGCCTTGTACGTCTTGTTCTTGTGCTTCTTGCACATCCACGCGTGGTGATGGCCGCCGGCGGGGAGCTGCCCGGCCTGCCGCACGACGCGCGCTGTCGTTTCGCCGCAGCCCTCGTACGAGCACCGTCGCAGCCTGGCCACCTCGTCCTTGGCGGCGGCGGCGGCGGCACCCGCCTCCTCCTCCTCCTCCTCCTCCTCGTCCTCCTCCCCGCCTCTTCCTCCTCCTCCTCCTCCGCCTCCTCCTCCTCCTCCTCCGACAGCAACGTCACCTTCGCTCGCGCTCCCCGGACTTTCGTGCGTTGCGTCGTCCGTGGACGCAGGATGCACTCCGCCGCCCGGGCACGCCGCTCCGCTCTGGTCCGAGCTGCTGTCGGAAACTCCTGCTGCTGCTCCTGCTGCTCCTGCTGCTGCTCCTGCTGCTGCTGCTGCTCCTGCTGCTCCTGCTGCTTCTGCTCCTGCTGCTGCTCCTGCTGCTGCGCTCATGGTTGGGGGTACGGCCCTGCGACACAAGTGGGACACGCGTCACCATTTGTCACTCGAAGAAAGGGGCAAGGACACCGCGGGGCTTCGCTGAACACGTGGACGCATTTGCGGAAAAAGGAAGCAGTTGCTGCCTGCTGCGTGCCGATAATTTTTTGAGTCCGGGCTTTCCCCCTCCCCCCCCCCCCACCCCCAATCTTTAATGATTCGCAATGAAGTGGTCTGATGGTTGGCGAGATGTTAACTCCCTCGCCTGGTATACAGGAGGTCGTGGGTACGATCCCAACCCTGACCCCTGCTGTGTATTTGGAGTTTGCGTGTGTCTCTCGCTCTCTCTCTCTCCCCCCCCCCGTGGCCGTGTGGATTTTTCTCTGGGTCCTCCGGTTTCCGCCCCGACATTTAGAAACGTGCGTTAAGAGTAACTGGCTGTCGTCGATTTCCACATGATAAGCCACATTCGTTGGGCTACCATTTGTGCTAGCCAAGTCGCTTCTGACAAAGAGCTGTATAAGCTCAGTGCGCCTTACCTGGTCAATTAAAACATTGTTCAGTTTTTACAGTTTTAGTTTAGGATGGTCGTGACAAACATTACATTAACGTTTGTACACGTACGCGTGATATCGCAACACAGACATGACCATCGAAAATCGTGACGCGCCGCTGAATTCAGCTGCTGCACGAGTCCCAACTGCACTGCGTTATAATCTGAAGGCATTTCCTTTCGCGACGTACAGCGGTATTACCCCCACCCCCTCCCCCCCCCCCCGAGCATCAGATCGTGCAAAGTAAAGGTTTCGAAAAGTGGCACCGCAAAACCGAGGTCGATCCAATATCCGTTGTTCACCGCCCAACGCTGGCCGTGTAATGCGTGGCTTGTCGCATTTCGTCACGTTTTGCTTAAGCGTGGGTTGTCAGATTAAATCGAAGACATTTTCCCCTCCTTCCCCCGACACACCTCTCCCACCGTCCCTTTTCTTCCCCCAGTATGTTAGTTACCTTCCCCCTTCCCTCCCCGCATATATACATCTTCATGCCCCCCCCCCACCCCCGCACATAATGTCCCCCCACTTTGGTGGGACAGCGAGCCCCAACTTTCCCCCAGCACAGCATCCACTCACTTTGGTGGGAAAGCGAGCCCCAACTTTCCCCCTGTACAGCGTCCACTCATATTGGTGGGACAGCGAGCCCCAACTTTCGCCCTGCACAGCGTCCACTCACTTTGGTGGGACAGCGAGCCCCAACTTTCCCCCTAAACAGCGTCTACTCACTTTGGTGGGAGAGCGAGCCCCAACTTTCGCCCTGCACAGCGTCCACTCACTTTGGTGGGACAGCGAGCCCCAACTTTCCCCCTAAACAGCGTCTACTCACTTTGGTGGGACAGCGAGCCCCAACTTTCCCCCTAAACAGCGTCCTCTCGCGCTGAGACTGAGTTGCTGTTCGTGGAGTTTCTGCTCCCCCAAGCCCCCCCCCCCACCCCCCCGTTCTGCGATCGGTGTACAGCGGAACCCCTCTTAGGGACCACCTCTGCTGGCGACTAATCTCTTAACGATGGGCCTCCATAGAGCCCAGTGTGTAGTGTATCGTGTAGTGTATAGTAGTGAGTAGTGTAGAATATAGTAGAGTATAGTAGTGTATAATAGTGTAGTGTACAGCTGTGTACAGTGTATAGTTGTGTAGTGTAGTGTACAGTATTGTATAGTGTACAGTATTGTATTGTGGTGTATAGAGTATAGTAGTGGTGTATAGTAGTGTATAGTGCATAGTAGTGTACTGTATTGTAGTGTAGTGTATAGTAGTGTATAGTGTAGTGTATAGTCTAGCGTAGTGTATATTAGTGTATAGTGTAGTGCATAGTCGTGTAGTGTTTTGTGTAGTGCAGTCGTGTAGTGTATAGCAGTGTAGTGTTTAGCAGTGTAGTGTTTAGCAGTGTAGTGTATAGTAGTGTAGTGTATAGTAGTGTATAGTGCACAGTAGTGTATAGTGGTGTATAATGTATAGTAGTGGCGTATAGTAGTGTACTGTATTGTAGTGTATAGTATAGTGCATAGTCGTGTAGTGTATTGTAGTGTAGTGTATATCAGTGCAGTGTATAGTAGTGTAGTGTATAGTGTAGTGCCTTCATAGAGCCCAATGTGTTCTCTTACCAAACATTACCCTGTTAATGACGGGCCGTTGTAGTTAAGAGTAAATATTAATCCATGCATTGATTGACCGTGTTTCTTTTTATATTACGTGTTTACAATGTCGTTGTATCTTTGTGTATTAATATCCATTGTTTCAATATTATAAATAAGGTTTTTTTTGGGTGGAAAAGGGTAACTTGTGATGCTATTGGAACTAATCAAGCCTTTAACGTGCACTTCGTATACTCGCTTAAAGATTGAATTGCGTAGCGAACGTTTTCGTGGAACCAATCACCATCCGTGATTTTATCCCATCTGTAAAGGATGTGATTCCTGCCCCGCCTCCTCCCCCCACTTCTCTCTCCCCCCCCTACTGCCGAGGCCTACTATATAACCTCGTGCCACGGCAGGTCTCTCTCCTACTGCAGCAGTTTTTATTCTTGCTGTGGCTGTCGCACCTGATGACGATTGCTCGCGTTGCGATCGAAACGTCGTGCTCTATTGTTATTTTTCTTCCGACGTGACTTTACCGAAAGAACCAAAGAGTATGGATTCCTGCGGTCACGGAAAGCTTCCAATCAAGGTTCAATCACCATCGTTAAGAGGGTTTCTAATGTATCGCATCGGAGCTCACGTTGAATTGCAATAAAAAAACACATTTTTTGTACACATTTTGCGACTGATTAATGGGCTGACACCATCGACTCCACGACAATTTAATCTCCGGTTTAAACATCTCAGCCAATTCTCTCGGACCAGGACAAACACGCACGTTTGAACATCTTTCGGCGCGCAGTACGCTTATTTAAATCCCGCCTTAAGATTGAGTTTTTTTTACTTAAAGGCCTATTCTCTCCTGATTAATATGGTTACGTTGTTTTTGGGAGTGTGGTGGCGGGGGGAGGGTGAGGTGGTACTTGTACCTGTGGTTAAAAATCACGAGCATGCGCGGCTTACGTTAGGTTTTTGAATTGCGCGAGTAGATTTCCTTTGAGCTCCGTGCAGTGACTTGCGACCTCTGGGTCAAACGCGCTTGATAAGTGTCAATTACTACTGTCTACCGTGCTAATCGGATCGTACCTTGGGTCATTACAACCGCGAGATGCGAATGTTCCTCAGGGTCGCGGGGGGTCGCTGGCGGCCCCTGAAGCACCACATCATCATCATCATCAAACGTGTGGCTGCCCTCACACCGACGACGTCTTATCGGCGAAAGTCGCTGCCCGCCCCCCCCCCAGCCCCCCACCACCTCCTGAAACTTAGTGCAGAAACACTGCCCTGGTTGAAATGAAGCCCGCACCTACGATTGTGCTGCAAGTTCACCATGCATATTTGCGCTCCGGTGCGGGAGCATAGGGAACGCATTCGCCACCACTGAGGTCCCCGGTCTGAGAGATTCAGGCCGAGATGTTTCAACCGAAGATTCCGTTGTTCGACACACACAAAGACAAAGATCCCCCATATAGCCTTAACAGACTGTAGGGGCAAGTGCTGTTAGCGAGCACCTATGAAGGCCGGAACGGTACACGAGGGGGTGGGTGGCCAGCACCACGCCCGACCGCCTTTGTCTCCCTAGTGGCGATGTTTACACACCGCACCAGGTACTCATTTGAGGCTGAGTCGACGTAGGGGAGGCCCGGGACCGGTTTAGATAATAGTCACTGGTGTTGGCCGTGAGCGGGAATCGAACCCGGGTCGCCAGGTTCATAGTGCAGCGCGCTAACCGCTACACTATCGCTTCGACACACACACACACGCGCACACACACATACGTGCACACGTACACACACGTGCGAAAAAAGCTCATGACTGGATCTTTTTTTATTTACCCAGAGCTGCCCAATGAAGAAGCTGTTTGTGTGGTCTGCGTATCACACATCGTGTGGCAGCACTGGCCAATACCCCCCCTCCCCCCCACTGTAATAACCTAAGTATTAGAAAAAAACCATGCAAATTATTGAAAACTATTTTAACAAAAACACGCGGCCACTATGTATATATGTGAAACAAACAAAAAAGTGGTCTCTTTGGAAAATCATTAATCGCGGCATTTTACCCGCTTATATAAGGGGCGTTTCAGGACACCTTGATCTGATGTAGACAAAACCGTACACGCTAATTATTCAGCAAAGGGCATTAAGGCAGCGGTGACACATTGACCCCCTGAAAAACGCCTCGCGATGCCAAAGTCGCCAAATGATGCTGGCATTTGAAAGTGCTGATCTCACGCGAAGTAAAACAAAAAACAAACGACATCCCCATTGTGGCACGTATTAGGGTTCCATTCATAGCCACTAATATTTCTACCCAAACTTGATTTTGTTTCTTCCCCAGGACACTAATGGGGACGTCTGCTGTGCCCCGCTGGGAGCCAATTTGCCAAGAGAGGCGGGCAACGGGAGGGGACAGGGCGAGGGCGAAAAGCGACGGAACGACACGATGAGTCTCAAGGGGCTGGGCAAACCACAGCCACCCAGGGGAAAAATCCGCATCGATCTTTGGAAAATAAACTCCCCGGACACACACACACACACGTGCACACGCGAGTAAATGAATGGCCCCAGCATCCAGTGCACGACGACACACGAGCGAGACTCGGGGTTTCAGTAAGACGTTGCAATTAATTTGCCAAATGATCTAACCGTTTCGAAGAGCCAACAGCAGGAGATCCGTGCATTGGGGTGTGATCTTCCACGAAGCCGCTCACGGTCCACCCCAAATCGCATCACCCACTGCACAGACCGTGGCGGCAACCGATGCGGATGCCCTGATGATGCACAAAACTCTCCGGTAGAAGTTGTGGCGGATGCATTTTCTGCCAACCTCCAATCAGTGCCTGCCTTATTACAGAACAATTCAGACCTTGTTGGTCACCCCGCGCCACTTATAAATCGCA